ATATATATACATATGTATATATATAAACTATCATACCTTGACACTGTCAACCAAGCTGTTGTATAGCAGAATGTCAATAGACCGCGGAAGTTGACCTGCTGGGGCCCTCTCAGGCATTTCCTGTAGTGTGATCTGCAACAAAGACAAAATACATATAAATAATCCAAACGCATACAAGAGTTTTGAAATCGGGATAGTCTTCATATACGATAAAATATACATGTATTTATCAAACACACGCGTATGATTCACATCACGATTGTAAACGATGAAGTACAAATAAGTGAGTGATCCAAGCGGACGCAAAGACATTCAAATCCGGTATGTATACTCCGAAGTATGCAGGAGAAATGCAACCACACGCAGAAGTTTTTAAATCAGATACGTATACGATGGGTCATCCCAACGAACCGCAAATGGCTTGATACCAGAAGTGTATACAATGATATATACACAAAAGAACATACACGCACACAAGGGGTTCTGGAACAGAATTGGCGTGTGCCCGAATCTAGAACGACAGTACGCACTACAGTACACATTTTTGATGTGAGTGGGTGATAGCCAGAACAATACTGCGCACCCCAGCCCACACTTTGGTGTGAGTCGATGTGACAGCTTTTTGGGGTATTTCTTTTGACCACGAACTCTACACCAAACAGGCATGTCAGCGTACTCTCATGTATATTTTAGAGTTTTGTTGGAATTTTAAGGTTATAGGACGGAGTGTACACCAAACAGGCACACCACGAGTATGTCCATATTACCTGTTGATGATCCTGGTACTCGGATAAGCCGAATTCGGTCACTAAAGCGTTGCCATCGGCGTCCGTAGTGGGATAGGTAGAAGTGGTCCGTTTACCAGAGAGAGAGCCTAAATCCGTGTATGCGCGTTTCACCTGTTTACCAGTAGCCGGGGTATAGTGCACACTCTCGAGTACCTTGGCCTTGACCTCGTAACCTGTATGTCGAGTGGGTCATGTAATGCAGTATACAGACGGTGAATCCGTGCGTTTTCTTGAGTATTGCTGCGAGAGCACATCAGGGGTAACTAAGTATCTAAGTCAAAATGCCATTCCTATGTCCCTACATGCCTGCGATTGTAATAACCTGTCTAGGATTTTTTTTAAACACTCTACCTAGGTCTAATTTTTTCCTGAATACTATACCTAGGTACTCGGGTTGGCGTATGCGTTCATGCGCACGCGCGGCACACTTGACGCCTTGGAAACCACCATTCGCGCGTTTGGCAGTTGGCAGCCTGAAACATGCTGCACACGCCACATGGAGCACGTACTACAAAGTCCACACGCCGACTATCTGGCATTATAAATACAATAGTACTATTTCCTACAAGCTATCCATTGGTACATATAACTCTTACATTTGGTCGTGATACCCTCCAGACAGATGACTTGTCCTAACAGACTGGCAGACAGCCCTCGCGGAGTCACATGGTTCGCACCGAAGTGACCGTCTAATGCGACATAGATAGTCTGGTTTTTTGTGGAGAATGTGGTCACGCCAATTAGACAAGTGTCTGAAACTCTCAGCAATGGACAAATATAGGCAGGCGGATTCTGGTACACTCATTGATCATTTAAAACCAGTGCCGTGTCAAACATTTACATCGACGTCTCTTGTGTAAACAGCTTCAACACCACCCAAAGACGATAGTAGTACGGGTTTATAGTTCACAGAGAGTCAATTTAACTTCGAATCCAATCAGAACAGCTGGTAGGATTTTGTCTACTTCTACTCAGGGAGCAATAGATCAGTATATGTCAGGCATGATGAAGTGCTGATGCAGAGGGAAAGAGTGGACTTTAACGAGTAAAATATAACGGCTAGGAATTCTGCCCCTATACATTTAACGTATGACCTGGCAGCCAGTCGTTGGAAGTATCGAATCTGCGCGAAAGGCTTGCAAAGGTTATCAAGCAACCTAGCAACGGTTTGTCATGTATACTACGGTGTATGTGATAGGTATACGGAATCTACACATCAGAGTTACAACGCTCGTGTTACAGAGTTTGGTTCGGTAGGTACACTTGGTATTTGAACATATAACGACACCCTTGCTACCGTTGTTGCATGTACTGAGGAACAGAACAGGCCCTTGTTCAGGCTCATAGCGAGCAATAAGAGTGAGAATGCCAGTCAACCCCGTCAAACATTGAAATGCAGGTTTGTGGGAAACGCAAGTGTATACGAAGCGTGTTCTGTACCTTCTGCTTTGTCATATACGCCGCATGCACCAGCTTCATGTGTGTGTTAACTGCTTCCTCCAAGAGAGTCAGGTACTCCACTGGCTCATTTATAACCCTGGTAAAAGTAGAGTACAGAGGATGAACAAACAATCAACAGCTCGATGCACAACCAACAGTTCGAATCGCTTACACTTAATGAACGATTACAGACATAATCACGAAGGCGAGGCAGTGGAAAGCGCTACCAGTCCCTTTAGACATTCACGCATACATATAGCCGTGTCCGTATGTACACAAACACACATATATATAAAATTGTATTCACGGGATTATTCTGATTTGCACCTACTTTTGGCATAGATCTGCGTCGTATTGCTTGAGATCATCGACAGTTATAACCAGTCTGTCGCGTTTATTGGCGACTACATCGTTGATCCTGGTCGCATATTTCCCTTTTCCGAGCTGATTAAAAAAAGGCCGATACACAAAAGTTGTCAGTAGTACTCTTCAGGGCTTTTGATGATCAAAAATATTTATATACTCATTCCCAATCGGTTAGAAATATACCTATACAGATATGTACGAATACAAAAGTATGCATGCTTTGCTAAAACATGTTTTGAGCGATTTATTTGTAAAAGATTTGTTCACATGTTACTGTGTGTAGGAGAGACAATGCGTCAACTAGCTACTTAATCGTTGTGCATTGAGAACATATGAGAGTCTTGTTGGCCATGATGATGCGCTAGCCTCTGCCAGCGAGATAAACAAGCCCACTCTCGTAGCTGTGCGCCTCATTAAAGGCATACTAGTAAACAGTACGTATGTGATATAGTAAAGCATACTTGTGTGTGCAGTGTGTGAGTGTGTGAGTATGTGCAAAAGAATATTTGAGTATGTCATTTCATCGATAGAGGAATGGATTGATTCAAATGCTATCATCATATATAGCTATAGTCAAAGGCACAAAGAACCACTATATCCTTCACTGAGGCCTCAGCCCGCGTGTATGGTTTGTATCGGTCTATCCTAATATATGCGGATATGAACAGGCAAACGATACTGTGACGGCCCCATATGTGATATATGGTGAATAAAATGCGTTGGATGTCGGGTAATATTTTCGATTGGTAATGAATAGACATAAATATTGACATATCAGCAAGTGCATTTTTAAATGAGATTACAAACATCAACAGACACGCACATACCACACGCATATATAAATACG